TTGATTAATGGACGTTAGGTACATCATCGGTGACATCACCAAAGCTTAAGGGTGTTCAGTACCTGTCACAACATTTCGATTAGCGCTGATAGTGAAATGGTTATCATACATGCCTTCCAAGCATGTGGTCGGGGTTCGATTCCCCGTCAGCGCATAGTTTTTTGTTTTTTATCCCGATAGGCCGCCTTTCTGGAATGCCTTTTGCTATACACCGTTCAGAGTGCATTTCGGTCCAAATTGGATAATATCAGGCAGTGGTAGAAGTCGAATTCTGCTGCGTGTCACAGTGGATAATTAATAGACACCGTTTATCCTATGGCCCACTAACCTCTCAATTTCTCGTCGCACTGGGCGGAGTGAAGGATAAACCGAATGAGCTTCATTTTACCCGCTCTGTTACATGGCGTATACGTGACCGCCAGTTCATCTTTACCTGCTCTGTGCCAATTACTTTACAGCCAGTTACTCTGTATACGCTTTTTTCACATTTCCTTTTGTATAACCCCTTTCTCCTCCATTCCGTTCTTTGGCAATCATGGGCAGCGCCTATGTGACTAATTACCTTGACCTCGACGAGGAACATGACGAACTTCAATTCCTCCAGGAGAGTCTCGAACAGATAAACCAGATTTCCAGCAAAGCGGTATGTCCATACTGTCGACCCTCGTTGTCATCCAGACTCAACTCTATAGCCAATGAGCTCTCTAAGCCTGTAACTTTCTACCCCATGCAAGGGTTCACCACGGACTAAATTATATAACTATGTCATTGCCTATGTCTAACTACTGTCCCCCACTAAACTATACCACCGAACAACCGACTGCTGCCAACGGAAATAGACTGGCATTCTCCAAACTTTTGACCAGCGACTGGCTAGACTGGGTTCGCTCGTTAAGCCCATACACCAATCATCCAGAAGTTTGGGTAAAATGCAGCAGAGTAAGTAGGGGCCGGGGTTACAAACCTCGTAACAATCTCGTGGGCTTGAATGGTGATATTGCGTTTTCTGCCGATCCCGGCCTACACCTGTTTAATCATACAAATGTCCTTTTTTCCAATGCCATTGGCCTGGCCTTGCAGATGTCGACGATACTATCGCATCACTCAAGAACATGGTCAAATATTTTGACTGCGTGCGCGACGAAGAACCTATTATTAAGCAAGGGTAAGTCATTGTTTTTACAATTTAATTAACTGAGACTGTCAGCTAGCCAATACAACGTATCCAAATAGATCAATTTCGGTAATGGTTGTGGCTCCTCATTTATTTTTTCGAATATTTATTTACCCTCTCCCATTGGCACCTAATATATGAACCTGATGCCTGTAACGCGACTCGATCTTGTTTATCTGACAGGCCCAACGAAGACGATCTTCTTCCGTATTTGAAATCCATCAACAACCTCCAGCTGGCCAACGATTTCATTAAGCAGGTCAATATGCGTAGCTGTGAGCGGGTATCGAAGCAGATTGTAAGTATTTTAAAAGAACAGCTCATCCTAATAATCCAATGACAAATTTAACTGACCTTGAATCAGCCACCGTGTATGTCCATTTCGGTCATCTAATACGCTTTTACTGAGGCACTGGACTGGCTATAAATTGTTTTTAGAAACAACTCCTCGAAGTAGGTTTACAAAACCTAAACGAGCTCTTCAAGAAGTGGCTCCAGCAGTACAGCGAACCGATCGATCCAACTAAATATAAGAGTCGTAAGTATATGTTAGGCTAGGTTTCTCTACATTTTGTTTACTGCACATTCCATCGCTGCTCTTTCTAGCCGAATATTAACGATACCCTGGCTTTTTATATTATTTATGTATATTGCTGGCCCCATTATAACCCGCCAGCCCTGGACATTCCCCGGCCTCCACCGGCAACCCTACGCCTACTGGAAATGTTGATTACGTACCTAAGTACGTCGGAGTCCGAAATCGGGACTACGATTGACTACACCAAATCGTTTATTGACATTCGCACACTGTACATTTCCAAGTCCATGGCTGCGATCTATTCGGCCGCTGATACTACTCGGGTTCAATCAACCGCCACGGTCTACCAGAAGGGCACCTCCCCGTTTATTACGCTAACGGTCAATTTACTTAAAATAGCTCAGGTAGGATACACTGTTGCACACGGGCAGGTTAATGGCACTGATTACGACGCGTTATAGATGCCCACCATTTGTATTTTGAGTTTGTACATCATACTTACCCCTTTTCACTATTGCTTATTGGTTATGTTGATATTACCCTAAACCGTTAAACAACAGGCGGAGCATGACTTTATCGAGTCGGTCCTCCCCGGTGATTCGGCTATGGATGTGTTCATCAAGACATTCCACATGCCGGTCAAGCGGTACTTTGAATCGGCCGAAGGATTGATCCAATCGGCTCGGCGAACCATCCAGACCGAGAAGTTCATGTTGTTTGATGTGTTTGAGACCCTTAAGTTCTACCAGAACGAGTTGGACAAGGTTCTCTACCTCAGCCCATCTGAACGTAAGATTATTTCCAATCTAATCGCATCGATGAGCACCCCGTTGATGACTTCGTTTGCCGAGTATATGGAGGAGGCCAAGGTAAAGTACACCATATTAACTGATTGGCCCTGCCAATTCAACTGGATTACCGTCACCCTGATACCCGATTTCACCCAGGCTCGCTGTCTAACCACCCACAATTACCTGTACCCAACTTTTTCCATAATTCCCAATACCCACCGGTTTCTATTACTATATCTCTAGAGCATGGCTAAGATTAGCATGCCACACGACGGAACCATTTACGAGTTCTCTAGTAGCGTAAGTCTATTGCCTATTTTTTGTCAAGTTTGATAAGAAAACCCCCATTGTCCGACCTGGTCTTATTGGACTAACATACTATACTCCTCTCCCCATATACCCGATCCCTCTTTTTACCCCCAACTATTGGCCTTCCCCTCTCCATCCGGTAGGCGATGAGCCATATGAAACGTCTACTCGATCATCAAGAGACTGTTGAATCAATGATGGTAACTCTGGGTGATGGCCATTGGGGTTATATAGCGGATTCGAGCATGACTGCTAAACCCCGCAAAACCTTTTCGGGACAGGTCATTCTTAAGCACTACTTCAGTAAGTTGAACTCAAAAAACCCTTTGGATTTGCTTGTCACTGCCGCCCATCTAGTTACCTCGGTTTACCTGGCCTACAGACCATGCATCAAATTGTGCCGACATGGTTTACTCGCTAGCTAATTTAACACTTATTTGGTTTATGTTACCGCCTTTTACTATACCCCATCTTTTCTCTACCACCCCTCGATAGTGGATATCCTCCATTTGCTTACCACGTCGCTGGAGGCCAAGTGTAAAGGATCCAAAAAGAGTGGAGTTAGTATCGTGTTTTTGATGAATAATTATCACTACATTGCCAAGAACATCATGGGTTCCAAACTTCTGGATGTGTTGGGCGAAAACGAGCTTCGTATCTACGAAAACCTCGATTGGAAATACCAGGATCATTTCTGTGCCATGTAAGTCAAACCACATTTTTTATTTTATTTTGTAGCACACTGTCGGCCTAGACTATACCCGATGCCTGGGACATTCACTTTGCCTTTATATTATTTACCCACACCATCGTTTTCCATAACATGTACAATGCGTTTTTTTCCATCACTTGGATTATATTTATAACAGGTGGAAGTCATGCGTGGAGTACCTGGCTGACGATAATGGCGGACCTATGGGTCTCAAGAATAAATTGGTCGGCCATGACAAGATGACCATTAAGGATAAATTTAAGGTATGTTTTGCTGCAGATAAACCAGCGCCTTTAATACAGCTCTCTATTTATTCTGATCTGTTTCCCAATGACTGAATTCCTCCTCTTCCACGATCGGCCACAACCGGCTACAGCATCAACCGTAATTACATATACATGCACCCACTAATGTTCTATTTAAATCCCTACATATCCCAATCTACCAACCTTACCTTACACTAATAACAGCATTTCAACAGTACGCTGGACGAGCTGTTGCGCAACCAACAGGGCTATGCCATTCCCGACCAGGACCTTCGACTGAACCTCATGGACCGTATTCGTGAGATGCTGATCCCCGCCTACTCCGAGTTCATGGAAAGGTACAATATGGATTCAGATATGCCTCATTTCTTTAAACTACTAACGTTCACATAGTAACGGAGCATGCTTGCTTAATCCAAACTATCATTATTTAATCAACATTGCCCATTTGTTTTATCAATTTGATATCCCCTTCCCCCTCCGCATCGTCTTTCGAATCATTCTACTTGCCTCTTCCCTACAGATACCAGCATACCGAATTTGCCAAAAATTCAGGAAAATACGTACGCTACACCAAGGACATTCTGGATCGTACTATCCAACGGCTTTTCAATTCCCCCTAAGGCGCACTTTCTTTTTGCTTAATCAATGCATTGTTGCCATACTTTTATATTTCCTATTCGTTTAGTAGCCCGTGTTTTACCCGCACGAATTTATAGTAATACTTTCCATGAATTCGGTTTTATTACTTTGGCGATTTATTAGTTTCCGGGATGATTCAAACAATATTATATCAGCAACACATCTGTTGGGTCGAAACAAAATGGTACATCATTGATCATAGTCGACTATTTTGGGGTTAATGTGCCCGCCATCATTTCGTCGAATTTAGGACACTTGCGATTCGTCTTCATGTGGCCTAGCTGACCACAGTTACCGCATTGACGCTGTAATTGTCAGCATGCATTGGTGATCAGGATCGAGCGGCGATTAAAATAGAGATAGTAAACCGGAGGTTAGTTAAACAGATGCATGGTATGTAGGTTGAAAAATATATTTTAAAGACACTGTAAGTGATCCGGATCTATTGCTACCATGTATAGAGGTACTCTGGCCACTGGTCAACGTGTCTGACTTGCAGCTTCACGATAATAATTGAACGAGAATGGCAGATACATAAACATATAAAAAAACCAGCGTATCAAACTTACAATTGTTTTCTTCTTCGGTTTGCATTGCTGGGGCAACGAAATAGTACTCATGTGCATAGCTTCGCGTGCCTTTTCCCGGGCTAGTCGTTTCTCCCGTCGCTGCCGCAGGGCCGTCAATTGGGCTGCCGTGCGCCGTTTGAGAGCGACGGGCCG